ACCTTGCTCGGAGTACTCTGGGTCACCCGGGTTTAGGGTTTAGGGTTTCGGGTTCTGGGGCTTAGGGTTTAGGGTTTTGCAATTATTAAGGGATGGGGTTGTTTAGGTTAGGGGCTGTTAGAAAGATCACGGATGCAGACTCGATAGCTGTGACAAATTCATGAGACCAACCCTAAACCCCAAATCCTTAACTTTGAATCATTATTTTTCAGTTTTAGCCCTACCAGAAATCGTGCACTCACTCGTTTAGCTGCACTCGCGGCCTTGAGAGGCTCCACACGGAAGGATGACCCTAGATGACCCTAAACCCTCATACCGGAAACCAGAGCGCTGAAGCCCTTAGACCCCCCTAAACCCTAAACCCTCCAGCCCTAAAAGCCCGAATCCACGAAGCCCCTTAGGCCTTAGGGACTCTGAGACCCTGTGCTAAAACTCCAGGAAACCCTGCAGCCCTGAAGCCCTGGCTTAGGATTAAGGGTCTAGGGTTTAGGGTTTAGGGTTTAGGGTTTGGGGTTTAGGGCTTAGGGTTTAGGGTTTAGAGTTTTAGGGTTAGGGTTTAGGGTTTAGGGTTTCGGGTTTAGGGTTTAGGGGCTCAGCCCTAAACCCTAAACCCTAAACCCTAAACCCTAAACCCTAAACCCGACGAAGTTCTGCTTGTTGTGCCAGCCTTGTCAAAGAAGGCCATGTCCTGCGACCTTCGCTTCCGGCTTACAAGAAAGCTCAAGGACTTGTCGAGGGGCCCCTTAAAGGTTTTAGGGTTTAGGGTTTGGGGTTTAGGGTTTAGGGTTTAGGGGTTTAGGGTTTAGGGTTTGGGGTTTAGGGTATATAAGGACTGATACGATTTTTGAAGGGTTAAGCGGGTGTGAAAGTTCAAGACTTTCATGGGGTGTTGTAGAGGTTCCAAGGCCTCCGTGTCGTTTCCATTGAAGCTTCGTGCAGGTGTCGTCTCTGGACCACATGGGCAAGCAGGACCAGGATTCACCCCTAAACCCTAATGCCTGCACTCCTAAACCCTTCACCCGAAACCCGGAGCCCTGAACCCGAAACCCTAAACCCTGAACCGTAAACCGTGAAATCCACGCCGAGCTGTCCAGAAGGTTTCTGGAAACTCTTCGTAGGGACCTTCCCTGCGCCCTAAACCCCACCACTCCCGATCTCCGGACCCCGCCCTATGGGTTCGCTTTAGGGTTTAAGGCTTCGGGTTTCGGGGTTAGGGTTTCGGGTTTAGCTCTTCGGGTTTAGGGTTTAGGGTTTCGGGTTTAGGGTTTTACCATAATAAGGATCTACAATAAAGCGTATGGTTTCCCTACTACGGTAACTTAAATTGAAACCCTTAACAAGAACCCACAACCGTACTCCCTAACCGCTGCCCAACAAAAGCTAGCCGCAGCTAGCCCAGATCCGAAACACTAAAACTTCCTGTCTTTAAAGATTTGTAAATCTGCATTGGACCCTATACCGTAAGCCCCCATGTATCCTAAGCCTTAAACCCTAAACCGTAAACCCCTAAACCCTAAACCCTATAAGCCCTAAACAGAACCGGCCGGGGCGCATGTAGTGGCGGAAGCAGCGCTCTCGCAAGCGACTCACAAAGCCTTGCGCATCGGCTCCACAAAACCAAACCAATGCAACCGAGCGGGTTAAGGGCTTAGGGTTTGTGGGTTTAGGGTTTAGACGTTTAGGCTTCAGGGGTTTGCGGGTTTAGGATTTATGTTTAGGGGTTTATATAAAGGGTTTAGGGTGTTTTCTTTTAGGGTTTAGGATTTAGGGTTAAGGACAGAATCCAAACCCATCCTTTAAAAACTCTAACTCCCAAAACCGAAACCTCCTTAACCCACCCCAAAAGAGTCTTGACCCTACATCCTCAACCTGTAAGCCCTAAACCCTGAACTCCCCAACCCCCGACGCACAAAACCATAAACACACAAACACACACACACACACACAAACACACTCTCTCACACTCACGCTCACACACTCCCACACAAACACATGCGCATACACCCATTAATAAATGACAGAATACCCAAAGGGTTCGAGCAGCAGTAACAGCCTAGTATATTTTACATACTTTCGGATCCCGAACATCCACTAAGCGCCTACTATAATGGTACCTGGGCGCTTTTTGTTATTTCTAGCAAGGAGCGCCCCCCCCGCCCCCCAACAAATGCAGGTCATTATTCAGGCCCCAAAAATTACCTTCAGAGCCCTGAACCCCAAACCCTAAACCTTAACCCCAATTAACCTACGTACATTTTTAAGGACTCCTCTTGTAAAAAAATCATATTCAGGAACCCGAGAAAAGGCAGGTTCTTTAGGGTTGAGGTGAGCCCTAAACCCTTGTAGAACCCTGATAGTACCCACGGGCCCTTGTGGGAACTCAGAGCCCTAAACCCTAAACCCTAAACCTTTATAGTACCTGGGCCCTTATGGGAGTTCAGTAAATCCTAAACCCTAAACCCTCCCTAAACCCTAAAGCCTCCCCAAACCCTAAACCCTAAACCCCCTCCCCAAACCCTAAACCCTAAACCCTCCCTAAAGCCTAAACCCTAAACCCTCACAGCACCTATGGGCCCTTATGGGAACCCCGAGACTCCAAAACCCCTTAATTAAGGAATCGACCTCAAAATCATATCAGGATTCCTGTAAAAGGTTTAAGGTATATCCCTAAACCCTAAACCCTAAACCCTAAGGAAGGGGTTTTGGAGTCTCCCCAAAAACCCTCCCTAAAGCCTAAACCCTATAAGCCCTAAGCCCTAAACCCTCAACCCTTATAGTACCTATGGGCCCTGAGGGGAAAAGTCAGGCCTTTAAATCAGATTAGGATTCCTATCATAAGTTTAAAGTATATTCCTTATAACCCTAAACCCTAAACCCTCAACCCTAAAACCCTAAACCCTAAACCCTAAACCCTAAACCCTAAACCCTAAACCCTAATTAAGGGGTTTGGAGTCTTTGGATAAGCCGTCTTGCAGCCGCTGGGCCCCACAATCCAAACTCACAAGTTCGAACCCCCGGACCTTAAACCCCAAGGTGGTAGGGTTTAGGGTTTAGGGTTTAGGGTTTAGGGTTTAGTGTTTACCCCAAAATGGACAGGCGCCTCGACAGTCTAGGGTGTGGCGAAATTGTAGGGTGTGGGGCCTGGGGTCTAGGTTTTATGGGCTTTGCGATTATGACATCTGATCATAAGCAGGACCATGGACGTCGTGAGTTGATACCCTAAACCCCAAAAAAACTCAAAACCCTAAACCCCTAAACCCTAAACCCCAAACCCCAAAACCCTAAGCCTAAACCCCAAAACCCGTAAACGCAAAACCCTAAACCCAAAACCCGAAACGTTGATGCCGTACTGCAACCAGAGCACAGAGGAGGCATCTGATCCGCATCCCACAGAGGCCAGTGATGGAGGGGAGAGAACCTTTGAGAAGATCCAGGGTTTAGCGGTTTAGGGGTTTAGGGGTTTAGGGTTTATGGCTTATAGGGTTTAGGTGTCTAGGGTGGAGGGTGTAGGGTTTTAGGGTTTAGGGGTTTAGGGTTTAGGGGTTTAGGGCTCGTCGGACATCACCCAACTCATGGCCCCCGTAGACTTCCAGTCCTGTTGCCACTCCAGCAGCTGACGACGATATGTTCTGGCCCCTGCCTGGGCTCCCGGTATCTCTCTCTCTCTCTCCTTGTCTGTCCTTCTCCCCGTCTCTGTCTCTGTCTCGCCTGGGCTTCCTCTGTCTGTGCAGTGACCGCTTGTAGTTGTTCGACCAGCTTCTTGTTTCTGGCGTCTACGGTTGAAGCTCTCAACTCTGAAGCGTTTGGGTTTGGGCCTGGGAGCCAAAACCTACTGTGTTTAACTCAGGGCTATATAGGGGTTTAGGGCTTAAGGTTTAGAGTTACACCCAATGATTAGAAGGGGTTTCAACTAACGATTGTTGTAAGGCTTGGTAAGGTTGAAAACCTGATTAAGAAACCCCGGCCGTATACCTCCAATATAAACCCTAAACCCTAAACCCTAAACCCTAAACCCTAAACCCTAAACCCTAAACCAATATAGAAGGATTCATACAAAGAACCCCGGGTTTCTAAACCCTAAGCCCTAAACTCTAAACCTTTCTTAATCGTGAGGGCTTAGGAATCAGAGGCCAGGGTTTCAGATCGAGGATTTGAGCCGGACAGGAGTTTGTAAATAGAGGATCCTTATTATAAGGGCCCCAAAATAAGGTATCCCTTATTTTCCCCCAAACCCTAAACCCTAAACCCCTTATTTCAGAAACTCCCATTTGGAAGCCAGGGTCCCAGGGTTCAGGATTCGAGACTTGGGGCTTACGCGAATATGACCTCTGCTAAACCCCAACAGTCAACCCTCAGATATATGTATATATATATATATACACATATATTATATATATATATATATATATGTATATATAAGCCGTATACCCGAAATTAGGGTTGAAGGTTTAGGGTTTAGCCTCTAGGGCTCAATTTTTTCGGGGGGATTCGGGGGCTCAGCTCAAACCTCGATCCACTGAGATCACCACTTTGCTCTGCCTTTCTTCCCGTTGCTATCGGCACAGGAGGAATCTTCAAGTGTGTAGCAGTGTAGCACTTTGCATGGAAGTAGGGGCTGGCGGTGGCGGTCGGTGAATGGGCTTAGAGACTAAAGCCTGACTGAACCCTGATAGGGGCATTCCTGCATCGTGGGCCAAGTACGGCCGCTGCTGCATTGAGGGGCTTGAAACTCCAGGCTTCAGCGTTTCTAGGACTTTGGGCTTAGGGCTCAGGGTTCGGGGGCTCTCCAGCTTTCGGACGATAGGTTGGGGGCTCGGTGGTTTGGGGCAAAGTCGTGACATGCTTCGTGCTTTTATGGTCCTGCTCCCCCCAATGAGCCGTTCTTCTCAATCGCGCGGGGTGGGCGGCGTCCATGAGAGGTATCAACTTCCAGACCCTAAACCCTTAAACCCTAAACCCCTAAATCCCGAAATCCCTAAACCCCTAAACCCCTAAAATAGGAGCTGTCGACTCTCCGCTCCGAGCTGGCGGATGCCCGAGCTGCTGCGGAGGTTCGGCGGAGCTGTGGCCGAGAGGCGCCGCTCGTAGCGACGCGAAAGCAGGGCTTGATTTGACCATAGGATTTAGGGGTTTAGGGGTTTAGGGGTTTAGGGGTTTAGGGGTTTAGGGGTTTAGGGGTTTAGGGGTTTAGGGGTTTACGGGTTTGGGGCTTAGGGTTTAGGTTTAGGGTTTAGGGTATTTTCATGGAGAGCTCTTCTGGAAGCCTCTTGCACTCCTGACTTCTGCCCTATGTCGGCGAGCTTGTGATCCAGCCCCCGTCCACCCAGTAGAGACGGAGAGGTCCGCGAGGGGCTCCAGAAAGACTGCGAACGCTGGCGCCGTCATGCGGAGGCCGGGATCTCGTTGCGATCTCGGCGACTCCCAGAAATGCGAAACGCATGGCAGGGACTGGAGAAGCAGGTGGACCAGCTGGGCCGCAGCATGCAAGGCCTTGCCCTCACATTCATGTTTAGGGTTTAGGGTTTAGGGTTATTTTTCTCAAAGGCGAAACTGTCGAAGCTTTGTCCGGAGTCCTGTGTCAAGGTTGCGAGACCTGCACGGCGATGCTGGCTGAGAGCCAGGACGCAAGCTTCGCCGGCAAGCATCTCACACTAGCCCTTGGGCCATGTCCTGCCGGAATCAAGACGTTTTTTTGTAGCTTGGGTGATGTACTCTTTTCTCGACATCTTTACAGTGAGTGAGGCCCGTGGAAGTTTTAGCCATGCTCGCATGCCTCACTACGGCACTACGGCCCTGAGACCCTGAACCTTTGTCTCGGTCCAGCGAGAGGAACTGGCTCTGACCATCACGGCCCTCAAGAACCAGTGTGACGGTCTGGAGGTTTGCCCCCTGCAGCACGTCTACGGGGAACGGGTGCAGATTATGTTTTGGATTTCGCGCCCCTAGGAGTGGGGTGCCTGCGACCTGAAGGCTGACAGCTAGAGACAGCTACAGGCTGCAGCTCTATGTTGAAATTGATCTCTTTTGGGCAATCTTGCCTGGAATATGTAGTATGCAGAAGCATTCGCTTAATTGCAGACTTCGCTGCTAAAGCTCTGACACGGAGGAGCCCGAACCTTTGATACCTGACTCGGTGCACGAACATAACCCAGCCTTAGCAGAAGACAGGCATAGGTTGTAGGAGTGTTGCACCATTCGGCCAAGCATGCCTTGCACGCCACAGGTGGAAAGAAAGAGCCTGGCAAGCAAAGTTGACTCTCTCCAGGACTTGCGGGTGCTGCTTGATGGAACAGTTTGTCAGGGGAACCCAGCATCGTAGCTGCAGCGACTTTCTGATCCCGAAGGCCAGCCTTTTTTCCAGCTACGGCTGCCCTCACTCGTCCTCAAGGTTTAGGCCTTCGTAATCCCAGTCTTCAGGCCCAACTCTTGCTACTCGTACGTGTGTCGCTAGACAAAGATGCACTGAAAGAGAAGCACCAGTGGCAAGCGGAGGTTGTGACAAATCAAGCGACCGGCAGTTTGTAGGCCTCCTGCAGCTTAGCTTTGAACCCTAAACCCTAAACCCTAAACCCTAAACCCTAAACCCTAAAACCCTAAACCCTAAAACCCTAAAACCCTAAAACCCTAAAACCCTAACCCTAAACCCTAAACTCTAAACCCTAAACCCTAAACTCTAAACCTTTTCTGAACTGCAGGAGAGCCTGGAGGAAGTGTCCTCCTCGCATGCGGAGTTGGCAGGGCACGCGAACCATCGGCAGAAGATCCGACACACCCTGCAGCTGAAGGCGGGGGTTGGTTTAGGGTTTAGGGGACCAAGTAAAAGCCGATTTCTAAGGTTAGAAGTATGGGCCCTGATGTGGGCCCTTATAAGGGCTTTCTAGGGACCCTCAAGGGTACGTAGTTTCAACCTTCGACGATTACAGTGGGCAATGCAGTGCAAGGGAATTGCTTGCGACTGAAGGACGACAGGGACAGCTATCGGGAGGAGTGGCTTTGGCTGCATCCCGAAACCCTAAACCCTAAACGGCCCTAAACCCTGAACCCTAAACCCTAAACCCCTCGAGGGCTCCCATGCGTCCTCTGCGCAGATTCTGCTAGCAGCAAAGGAACTTCCGCCTCAAGCAGCGCATCCTTCAGTTGGAGGCTCGAAGCCACCAAGGGGTGGATCGGAGCAGACCCTTCAAGAAAGGGGGCTCGGGGTCTCAACTGATAAATCACGCAGATCTTGTAGATTTTTGACAGGCAGGGTTTGCCTGAAGCTTGCTTGCTTGCTGCCTTCCTTGATCGACTCTATCTACTGGTAGCCTGGCGTGTGGACCAGGCGAGGAACAGCAGCCAGGGCATCGTGCAAGCAGTGGCTGGCCATTCAGGAGCTGAGTGACGGTAGGATCCGTCCAGCCTAGGCTGCGCCTCTTACACTTCTCCATGCCTACGTCGGTCGCGTGTATCGGCCATCGTACCGGAAAGCCCGTTACAAAGACCAAACCAGCGATCTGTTGATGAGAATCGCCAAAACCGTGAAACCGAACCCCCAGCTTTTGCTGCAGCATGTTTGCAGGAAGTGAGCTCCGTGGCAGTCGAGTCTCTCGTTTGAGTTCCAGGCACAGGGAGAGAGCGTGGACAGCATCGGTGGGTTTGGGGGTTGGCAGCTTCAGAGTTTCGAGGCACTCGAAATCCTGCGAGCAGTCTCCACGGCAGGCCAGCTTCACGTGGTGGCACGGATGGTCTCGCGGAGCTCTCAGTAGCAGAACTTACGCTTGTACAGCAAGGTCTTAACCGGCACCTGGGAAGGCGCACAAGTCAGTAGTTGTGCACAGCTGCCCGCGATTCGAGCCGAATCCATGTCACGGTAGTGATCGCAATGGAGATCTCAGAAAACAGATTGAAGGATGGCTCGCAGCGATGCCTGCAGAAGCGCTGCCAGCAACTGGAGCATGGACCCGAGCATGCTTGGCTGGCTTGCCCAGCTCATCCGAATTCACAGCGACCCTAACTCCTGTGTCCTAAAGCCTGTTCCCTCTTCAAGCGTGCAGACAAGGCGAGAGTTGGAGCGGAACAAGATCAATGTGACGCATTTCCTCGCCATCATCGAGAGGGCAGTGCCGAGCTCTTATGATTTCCGAGCAGCCGCATTCTGTCGTACGAAACTGGATCTCTCCATGCACCCGAGGAATGTTGATGACAGTCAGAACAGAACGGGAGCTCACCACAAATCTTGCCAAGTAACATAAGTATTGCAACGAAAACGACGACGTCAGCTAGTGACATTCGCAATACTAAGACATGATACAGCAGCAGTAGCAGCGGCAGCTAGTAGCTCCAATGCTCACGGTGGGAGTTGCGCAGTGGCGCAGTAGTAGTCGTGTACTAGTCGTACGAGTAGTTCTTTGATGGCAATGCAGTAGTTGCCAGGTGACAGGAATCCACATGAACATGAGAAGCCTGTGACGTCCATGGTCAGCAGAAGGCGATCTACACAGCATGGCAATGGCGAAACGAAGGTTGCAACATGCTGCTGCTGGTGTCGATGATGACGTGTTGGCGATGATGGTGGCTGTGCCTGTGGTGGTTTTTGTTCATGATCGTAGCATCAATTGTGGCCGCAACCATGAAGATGACGGCTGTATTCCAAGTTTGCAAGGTCTACAGAAGGCGAGTCCAAGTCTGTGACCGCCCTGCTCCAAGCCTTGCGCGACAGGCCAGCGTCATGGTTATTGCTGTTGTTGCTTGCCGTCCACCAGTAATTTGCATTCCTTTTTGCATCTCGGTTTTACTGTATGATCTGCGGTGATGGTTGCTGTTGTCGTCGTTGATAGTGTTTATTGATGAAAACATGTTGTTGGCAATCGTTCGGTGTTGCTTGTTGTTTGCCGTTGCTGCTGCCTTCGTTGAACTTGTTGCTGTCGTCTTCGTCGTCGAGGTGTTCTTGGTTGTTGGCTGTTGGCTGTCGGCTGTTGTGGTGCTTGTTGTTGTTGTTGTCGGTGGTGGTGGTGGTGGTGGTGGTGGTGGTGGTGGTGGTGGTGGTGGGTGGTGGTGGTGGTGGGTGGTGGTGGTGGTGGGTGGTGGCGGTGGTTGTTGTTGCTGTTGCTGTTG